AAGTTTCCATTTTTTAATGACACCCTTTGCTTTTGAGGATCTGCCAGCCTTACTTTTCTCAGAAATCTAAAATGCCTGAACCAAGATGAGCTTTAGAAATGTAAACTAGGTGTCAGGAGCACCTGCCCTAGCTAGGAGTTCCCTTCCCACATCCAGTCCTTCTTAGGACTCTTTCAAACTCAGAGAAAGGCTCAAGAATATGACATTCAAAGGCCAGCTACACCAGCACATTATTTTCTTTCAACCTGGAGAGTAGCCTGGTCTCCACTTTGCTTAATGTGACAGCATCAGATAAACACACCCACAGCCTTCCCAGGAGACCAATTAAAAGGGGTAGAGGGGGTAGTGGGTACCCTGTCCCCTTCCTGCACATGAGAAGATGACCCAGAGAGGTAAAGCCACAACCTCAAGAAATCTAGCTGGGACAAAGCAAACAGAGGCTCCCCCTAACTCTCTCTATTTTTCAAATGTTTTTCTATTTTTTTCTTTGCACATTCTAGGCAAGCCCTCTAGCCCCAAACTATATCCTCAGCCATGGCCTCAAGATAGACTATGTTAGATAGAGGACACAATGCTCTAAAGAATGGTTCTCAACCTTCCTAATGCTGAGACCCCTGAGTACAAGTTCCTCATGTTGTGGTGACCCCCAACCATAAAATTATTCTGTTGCTACTTCATAACTGTAATTTTGCTACTGTTATGAATCATAATGTAAATATCTGTGTTTTCCAATGGTCTTAGGTGACCCATGGGAAAGGGTCATTTAGCCCCTAAGAGGGTCACAACCCACAAGTTGAGAACTGCTGCTCTAAGAAAATAAAATATACATATGCAGGGTGGGGGTGCTAAGCAATTTTAGCCCTCAGAGATATTCCTCTATCTCTGGTTATGAGTTCTAGAAACCAAAACATATCCACGAAAGACAATTCTCACTGAGTGCTGGTTACCAGGCCTTGTTCCCAGCATCTTGGCAGGGGCTTAACTCTTTTACAGGACACCTGGGTGGAATCATCTCCGAACACTCGAATCTCCAAACCACTCACAGGCTCCCACTGCACTTTCCCAAGGCCCCTCGAAGACGCCTGTCAGCAGCATTATGTAATTCTGACTTGCACAAGTTCTGCCTCGCCCACTAATCTCATCGCTGTGCAGGAACTGCCTGCTGAGAGCTGACTCTCTGCCCCCATGCACCTGGCCCAGGGCTACACCTAAAGGGAATGTGTAAGTATTGTACAGAGCTGCTTCCAATGACAGAGACGAGGCTCCCCTTCCTTCTGCACTCCTTCAAATTCTGTAAAGGACAGAAATCACTGCCCATTTGCCAACTCCTCTCCACTCAACCACTCACAGAATCACACCGTCTTCTTCTGGAGTGAGGACCGTGCCCACCCCACTTCCCCCATCCTCCCTGCACATGTGAATAACCAAGATCACAGGGAGGGTCTCCACTGCCTTTCCCTGGACCTCTAAAAGAGACAAAGGGATACATACATCTGTGGCACCTGCCTAGCACAGGGCCAGCTGTGAATTTATAGGGACACAGCTAATGACAACTGTTACCCAAAAACAAAAACAAAACTGCCTTGCTCCTCGAGGCTCATGTTTTAGAAAAACAACCCCTACTGACCCACAGCTAGACAAACCCTCTTCTTCCTGGATATTAGGCTTGACAAACTAAGTATGCGACTTCCACCTTTACTGTCACCTCAGGAAGTGGAAAACCAAGTCTTCACATGTGTCATAGTGTTTCAGAGGAGAAGCAGTCTCGGGGAACACAGGAGACCCCAATACTTGAGGACAATAAAGAAACCCACTGTGTAAGTTGAAATACCCTGTCTGCTAAGAACAAACACAATCTCTTTATTCCCAGCTGGAGGACCAAACTGTCCTTTGAAGTAACTTAATTTCTATGGTACCTGAGCCTCCCAACTTACAACCCAGAAAGAGACACGGCATTCTTAGTCCCAGGGACTCAATAGTCATTTCTAAATCATACACTGCTGAAGACACATCTTCTGAGAGACTGCTCAGATGTGTGACACTCCTGAGCCAGCTACAACTTTTGAAAAACAGTTTCTCCTTTTAGAATTGAAAACATCTCCTCTCTCATACAAACGGTCTTCAGATGGCATCCCTACAAATAGGGGCCAGCTGAAGCTCCAGGAAGGGGACAGGCTCAAGAGATGTGGACAGAAGTGACAGCTGTTGACCCCTGGGTGTCCCCATCTGGGGGTTTGTAAGAGACCCAAGCTAGCTTCGTGGCCATGAAGAGCCGCTCCACCCTAGGCTTCCTCCTGTCCCCACAGCTCTTCTCTGTCACTTGTTTTGTCTTATTCTCACTCTGAGGCCTGCACCTTAAGGATCATTTGTCTGTCTGACACTGGCATGTCTGTCTGCCTCTCCAAAGAGAGAACAGGGACTTTTTCTTATCTGCATGGCATCCATAGGCTCAACTGTGGGATCTATTCAGTAAACCAGCATGTAAGAAGTTTTATGCAAAGCCTCACTGCCCATGAGGGGGGTGCATGGACTAGCTGCAGGACATATGACATACAGCATGGGAAGAAGTCTAGCCTTAGGCATGACAAGTAGCCATCGGTGTGTTTGTCCATGTTGACCATCACCTGTCTATACCAGTGTAAGTCTTCTCTGACATATCAACACAGGACCAAATCATCATCACTACCGCCACTCCACCTCTATCATCCTGAAGACTCCAGCCCACACATCCATATCCAGGCTTAAGAACTGTCGTGAAATTAACAAGACCTGCGAACTCTACCTTTTCCCAACCAGCTAGAACTGAGTGGAGGCTTCCCGCTGTGCCACTCACCTGTTCAAGGCATGTACACACACACACACACACACACACACACACACACACACACACACACCACCACCACCACCACCACCACCCTGACATCCAGCTTGCTTTCTCCAGGCTCTCCTGGGGCCCAACTGGTTAATTTCTCAAAGCCCTGAAGAAAAAGAGTCCACTTGCCACTGAGCCCAACCTTTCCCTCTTCTTCTGGCTCCTCCCTTACTCTTGGGGGTGTGGAAAAGCAAGGTCCCTCTTCAGACACGAGCAGAAGGCAGGTTGTAGAGGAAAGAGTGGCCCTCACAGCCACCACTATTAACTAGATCCCTGGATAGGACAGTGGTCCAGGTTCTTCATGCATCCAAAAAAAGAAAGGAAGGAAGGAAGGAAGGAAGAAAGAAAGAAAGAAGGAAAGAAATAAAGAAAGAAAGAAAGAAAGAAAGAAAGAAAGAAAGAAAGAAAGAAAGAAAGAAAAGAAAAGAAAAGAAAAGAAAAGAAAAGAAAAAGAAAAAAAGTCTCCTCCAGGGCTGGTTCCTTCAGGAGACCCTGGGATAGCCAGACCTTGGGAGGAAAGGTTGGACTGAAAGCTTCACTTCCTGTTCACCTATGAGCTAGTAGAGAAACAATACCAAACCACTTCCCCTCTCACTCCATCTCTTCATGTGGTAAGAAAAAAAAATCGTCCTCAGTTTTTCTTTAGTTTGGGGTGGGGGGAAAAATTTGTTGGTCAAAACCAACCCAATTATAAAGCATTTTTATTCCCAGGCCACTCTGAACAAAACCATATGATGTGTGTATGTGTGTGTTCCCATATCCGTCAGCAGATCCTGGTTCAACAAACACTTTGTAAAATCAGCAAATGTCATATTCTGAAGAAGCCGTCTTGACTTTTTTCGAGGAGGCAGCTGACAGGAAAATTCAGATGGAGAACAGAGAGGTTCCAAGAGAAATTTTGGGAAAACCTGTAAGCCTCAGCTCCCTTCAGTGCAAACAGAGAGAAGGTGGTTGGTTACCCATGTTCCCAGGGGGCCTTTTGGTAGGATCACCCTAATCCAGGGAGGATCCACACCATTCAGTCAGGAACTGCAGAAGATGGGTGCACTGAAACGCTAGGCTTCACTAACAGAGGCACCTGGCCGGTCAGAAGTAGCCCTTTGATAATGGGCGACCAACCTTGTGGAGTCACTGGCCACAAGTCCTCACAAGGCTTTTCTGAACTTCATTCCTGAAGACTGCGCCATTAACTTACTCAATGAGGATGTAGTGAAGGAGTCCGGCAGATCTACTAGGAGATTCAGGACAAGGACCCACCCTCCCCCAGCAGCTGATTCCAACCCCCAGACTCGCCGCCCCCAGTAAGTGCACTTACTAGAGGTGCCAATGCCCAGCCACCAGCAACCTAAAAGCAAGCAACCCAGCCCCAGTATTGGGCCTTTCAGCCACTCCAGCAGTGTTGTCCGCCCCAGGAACAAGACAGGCGGGCAATGTGGACACTTGGATCGTGATGGGGCAGTCAAACAAGGGTGTGCGCGGGACCTTGGAATCCTAAACGTGGACGCTGATGAGCGCAAGCCAGCCAATCAGTTCCCCCGAAGAAGAATTAAGGCGCTTCCCCAGCTCTCCATTCATTCCCTGCAAGCAAAGCCTAACTCCCCTTGCCCCGGCGCCATCCATTATCCCAAGGGGCTTCACCCGACCAAGTGCGCCAAGACCTGCCACCAGCCACCACAACGCTCGCTTCCTCTCCACAGGCACTCACAGCCCCACCGACTAGCACGCCATCCCCAGCGTCGTCCCCACGTCCCCACGTCCGGGCCGCTGCCTTCCCGGCTCCCGGCAGCCGCAGCCGCCCCACAGCTTGGCTCAGACAAACCTCATTCTACTCGCTGCTCCCCAACTGGCCGGGGACAACACCGAGACTCCCTAGCCATGCCGCTTCGGGGACCAGGAGACAAGGACGTAGGAAAAGGCGGGGAGTAAAAAAAGTTCAGGCCGCTCCCTCGGTTCTTCCCAGTCCTATTTCCACCATCCTCAGGAACCCTGGTCCCACAAGCGCCGACGCCTGAAACTGTCCCCCAAAACCCACATGTGCCTTCCCGCTGGGAGTCGTGTTGCAGCTAGAGCCTGGGTTCCAGAGGCGGCTCGCATGGGTACCCAGAGATAGTGGCAGAGGCACACGTACCTGCCCCAGGCTGTGCCTGGAAACTTCCCCCGAAGTGTGCGGGGGAGGGGCATTGAGCACGGCTAGGAGAACACGGGTCCCCAGTTCTGCCCGCGGCGAGCTCGCTCCAGAAAATCGCCGGCCTGTCTGTCTGTCTATTGGCCCTATATCCAGCCGTCCTCTGCCCCCAGCTTCCAGGGCTGGCTGACCCGGGGTCGCGCAGATTCTGACTCTTTGGGGCGATTCTGCGGGACAGCTAGCCGGTGCGTGCCCCGCGGCGTGAGTCTTCCGCCGGCCTCCAGCTGTCCACAGCGCCACCACGCCACCACCCGGTCCTCTGTCTCTGAGCTCGGGCCACATTCGCTCAGTCTAGGGAGGGGGCGTGTTAGCCCCGGCGCCGCCACCCTTAGTCGTTCCCGCAGGGTCCCCAAGCGCGCTGGGCACCCAGAGAGAGGTCAGAACCGCACAGTCAAAGGGACGCCCCGAGACTGCGCCTGAAGCGGGGAGGCCCGACTGAGGGGTACGGGCCCAAACCTGCCAGAGCTCGGCACGCTCCAAGTTCATTGTCTGCCTGGGCCGCCGCCGCCTCCGCGCCGGGAGCACCGCGGGGAGTGAGGCTGCGCACAGCCCCCGCCACCCGGACTCCCAGCTACCAGCCCGGGCCAGCCCGAGCGGAACCCGCAGAGGGGCACCGGAACCCCGAGCCAAACCTCCTCCCGCCGCTTCTTGCCGCCCCCAGCCCGTCACCCGGCACCCAACTTGTACCTGAAAAACCCAAGACGAGCTCGGAAGCCTCTGCAGCTCCGACTCCGCGGGAGCGCGCACCCAGCCCCGCGCCTAGCGCCCCGCATCCAGGGCGCGTCAACCTGACTCCACGAGCGCTAGGAGGAAAAGTTTGGGAGTGACTTGCAGATGGCGAATGAAACCTCTGAACAGAACCCTCCCCCCCCCGCCCCACGTCGCGTTGACACACATCAGCTCGAGTCTGGAATGCGAGATCAAGGCGTGCGCGCCCCGCTGAGCGGTGGGTTTGGTCCCCGCCCCCCTCGCCCTGCAAGTAAATACAGTTTCTGTATTGCGGTAACTCTGAAAAGGCAAAACCGAAACCTGGTGTGTATAGCAGTGACCCGGGCTACCAGAGACAGTTTTAAGGAACTTGGCTGTCAGGAGGCAGACCATACATTGATATTCAAGGCCATTGATGCTAGTGGTTTCGGCGCCCTCTGTTGTATTTTTGCATCCTACAAAGGCTGACTAGCTCTTCAGCCCTGTAGGTTTGCTTCTTCTGGAAGGTAAGACTCTGCAGAACTCTGAGCGCCACTGTCTGCCGCAGTGGCCCACGGGGGCTGCTCCAAGGAAGGGCTCCAGTGGTCAACCCCCAGGTCGTGAGTTGAAGATGCAATCGATTAATGTAAAGACACCTTAAACTTTTAAGATTTGTTCGGGACAGCCTCTGGAGCACCAAACCCAGGCTCTGGGAACAGGAGAGAAGGCACAGTCTTTGGCCTGCCCATGTTCCCATGGCCAGAGTCCAGCACCTTGTTTCTCGAAGCAACCAGGAAAATGCTCTCTCAACTGTAGGATGCTGGCACGCGTGAGAAAGGTGAGAGATGTGAGTCCCCCTCTCTCTTACCGGAGGTTCCAACCCTTAGAAGCTACTACCACCCTGAAGTCGTAAAACTCTGGCTCAGCATCCATGGCAACTGATTTAGAGGTCACAGTCAGAGGATTATAACTGCAGATGGGAACCATGGATGGCAGGCGAGTTCTTCAAAAACCCCTGTCTTGTTTTCCAACAATACTGCCTCTTACATAAAAATCTGCAAAGAAAGATTAATGAAGCAATGAGGCTGGGCCCCCTCCCCCGGTATCGCTTTTCCCCCGTGTAGACTCGGCCTAGTGATTTGGAGGTCTTTATTATTTTTTTTAAACAAAAACCTTTTTTTTCTAAAAATACAATGAGCTGGTTTTTGCAGAGTTCACAATTCCCAATAGATAATGATGCCATTTTTCATGGCCTTACACATGTTGTGGCTTTGGGGCTTATTTATTGGCTCCGGAGAAAAGACTGCCTTTCAGTAAGGTTTATATATTCGAGTAATTGCACCGGGACACAGTGCAGGTTGCTGTTAGAGAGGGTGGGTTGTGCAGGCGCCTGCAAGCGGAGTCCTGGGCCAGGCAGCTGTCAGAGCAGAGCCTGCAGCCCCTCTAAGCAAACACAGGGAAGGTTCTTTGGAAATAGCAAGTAGGAAATCCCCTCCTGTAAGAGTGTGTGGAACATGATCCCTGGGCCACACGTATGGGGACTTTCCAATACATGCCCCATTATAGAGATGGCGCTGGGCCCACCCAGATGACTTTCAAATTCAGGTGTCAGAAATCACAGCTGACATGGGAGCAAATTGTTTTTAAGTAAAATCCCTGTGTCGCTTTGATATGAGTGCCACCGGGAGTTTCCAACAGTATTATACATGTTCCTGAGATCACCTGCAGAAGGAGTTTTTCCTTTCCTCCCTCAATATTAATTTCAAAAAAGTATCCAGGTGTTACCTGTTATTCCAAAGCGCTCTGACAACACCCAAATGTCCTGTGTGAGTGGAGAGAGGGAGCAAGGGATGAATGGATAAGAACTTGAGAGAGACTGGTGCTGGTAGGCCTTCGGCAATTCGTGAGTAAGAAACAAACGCAAAAAGTTTAAGACAATAAGCATGCCCTCCCCAGCATTCATTTCCAGGTCATTGTGATGGGGTGGAGAGTACCTGGGTTCAAATTCTACTTCCAACACCTACTAAGTAATTCTGCATAAATCTCCTCTTCCTAAGTCACTAGTCTTCCACGGTGGCCAGTCAGTAGAACAAAACACCTGAAGCTGGTTAACACTATAAATAAAGAAGTTTGCTTACCTCATGTTCCTGAAGGCTCCAGAGCCAGCATGTGGCAGAGTTCTTTTCTTACTGGCAGACTCCCAAAGTGGTTCAGACCATCACACAGCAGGGAATCTTGAGTCCCTGTGCCTTCAGGTCTGTCTCCCTTTTCTTATAAAGCCACAAGTGTCTAGTCACAGGACTTCACCCTCTGGTGACCTTACTTGATTCTGATCACCTCCCAGAGGCCCCAACTCCAAACACTATAGTTGAAATTTCTCCTTTCATATGAAACAACAGGATTACATTTCACCATATGCACACGTGGCAGGCAACACTTCCCAAGAGTAACAGTGACATACATCTCCCCTGCCACCACGTCATGGTTGTGGTTTTGACTTGGGTTTTTTTTGAGGGGGGAACAATGGGATATTGGGGAACAACTGGGTCAGAAGCTGGAAATGCTCTTGCGAGGCCAGGCTTGCTCTGTTGCAGTCTAGTAGCCCGCCTTATAAAGAGCATGTCTTAAATAGGAGCTTCGTCTTCCAGCCAGGCTCCAGAATGAACACCATGAAGCAGCCCTGAGTTCAGCTTGCACCCTGGAGCCAAGTTATCCCAGCTCCAGCTGTACTCAGAGGCACTCCAGCTGACCTACACACACACACACACACACACACACACACACACACACACACACACATATAAACAGGGTAGGAAAAAAAGCTAATCTGTTGTAAGCTGTTTTGTTACACAGCATTATTGTCGCAATAGCTGGCTGATCCACTATAGCAGTGAGTTTATGGCAAAGCACCTGCTAGCACAGGGGCGGAAGAGATGGCTCAGCAGTTAAGAGCTCTGGTTGCTCTTATAGAGGACCTGAGTTCAGTTCACAGCACTGTAGCTCCAGCTCCAGGACATCCAATGCCCTCTTCCAGCCTCCACAGGCACTGCATGTACATGGTGTACAGACATACACACAGGCAAATGTTTACCTGTATACTTAAATTAAAAAATAAATCTTTAAAAACAGGAAAGTGGTAAGCAGAATTATTGGGCTACATGAAACAAAGTAGCAATTATGGGTGAACATCATTATTGAAACCTGCATCTAGTTGACACAAAATTGACTGATAATGAAATAAATGAGTGTCAATTATAACTTGAGTAAGGATTTTATAAGGAACTGCACAAGGACATCGGAGCATTGTAAAAAGAACCTACTAAGCCCTTACAGTCACATTCATTCATTTATTCTGTAAATATTCTTTGAACACCTACTGTGTGTCATACACTAGGATGAATAAGGGAGCCACTGAGATAACTAAGGTTCATTCCTTAAAGGAACCTCCAGAGACCCTAATGGGACAAGCAGTACTTTCCCATTCGGCATTCTTAAGCCTTCCAATCTGAAAGATGGGCATAATCACCATCAATTCTGTTTCTGCCGTGGAAAGGGCTTTGCCCTGCAACCTAAGGACCCTAGAAGTCATTGAGGAGGCTCAAATTCTTTTTGGGCAGCCCTGACTTGATATTTCTGCAACGACCTGCTTCCCACCCTGTGACTTTGACAAATTTAGACTCCTCAGTAACCCGAAGTGCATTTCAATTTTTATAAATTTAGAAGTCCTCTGGTTAGGCGGAACCTCCCACAGTAATGCATCCATTAAGTGCACTTTAAACCAATTTTGGTATGCTAATCCATCACAAATCGACGTGAAATTTGGGTTCTTGTGAAAATTTCCTACACCCGATCCAAATCCTCTACAGGACTTAGGAGAGTAAGAGGTTCCTTAAAGTGGCAGGCTTGACTCAGCATTGAACATTCAGGGAAGAAAGGTCGGAGCTAGTTTTAAACAAACATACACACACTCACATGAAAACTGTCTATGCTAATGGGGATGGAGGGGCAGTTATTCCAAAACAAGAACAACAAAAAACCCACTGCCAGATCATTAAGATTTCAAAACTCTTCTGGAGCGGCGGCATCTGGAATGTTACTGCATTCCCAGCCCCCAGCTCAGTCTGGTGCCACAGGCACACCCTGTAGGTGCTTGGCAAATGGCTCTATTGGAGTCACCTGCTTGAATAGTGACTTGTCTGTCAGTCTTTGCCTCCTGTGATTGTCCCTGTTTCCTAAAAGTCGAATCTTCTCCCCCCACCAGTGACACTTGGGAATGCTGCCAACACAACCAGAATCCTCTGAAGAAAACCCCCGGGAGGATGGGAGTGTGGTCTAGGAAGCCAGAGAAGAACACATGCCCTGTAATTGGCAGCATAAAGAACCCAGGGGTGATAAAAAAAGACATAATGTCACTGTTATCACCACGCAGGACTCGGTTGCTACTGATTGTTGAAGGGCAGTGCCTATTAACTAGATGTTTTTAGCTGCATAATAGACATTTTGCCAATAAGATCAAGTTTACAGCCTGGAGCGTTACACTTACTTGCTTCTGTCATAAGATCTACAACCCACTCAACAACAAAAATGAGCTGTTGACATGGTGAGCATCATCACCTGCCCTGAATGTGAAATACCTGTACCTACTAGATAAATTTCATTTTCCTGGTTGAGGGTTTAATGCAGTCAAATGTTACAAAATGGTGCTTGGGAGGATAATGGGAATGACGCCCACAGGCAGGTGCCTCGAGCTGATGTGATGTGTTCTCCCCTGCATCTCCTTGTGGATCCAACCCCCACCACTCCAGTTCTGTGATGCTGTCACGTGCACCTGCCTGGGTGCCTTCAGGAGTGCCACTGTAGGTCTTGACACTGTGTTTTCCCAGGCCAGTTAGCCAACATCCTGGTCTCAAGCCTGACTCATCGCTCATTGTAAAGTCCCTGGGGTGTTTTAAATATAGAGCCCTGGGTCCTGATGGGTTCCAATGTCACAGGCTCCCTCAGATTCATGTTCATTCTCTCTTGAGGCTGTCACTTCAGCCTTCTCCTGCTAATTGTCCCTGTCCTCCTTTGACCCCTACTGACTGGTTCTTCCTTCATATACAACAGGTTCTTCCCCAAACATTATCTGGTCCTATCAACCCTCTGGTCAAAAACTTTGACATTCATGTCTCAAGTCTCCATGGAGCCAAAAAGACCATTGAGGTCTATATAGTCAGCAAAGGCCCCCACAACTGTAGTCTTTTCTGGTTTCATCTCCCATCAGCTTCTCAAGTTGATTCAGACAGGACTTCTGTGTCAATGGCATCACCAGACACTGGTGTCCGTGTCTAGGAATTAATCTACTCTTAGATTAATGACAACTGTAGGAAAATCGGTCCCTTGGAAATCACTGATGAAATCACCACTCAATGTATGTATGGCTTTGGCTGTGGGTGAGCATCTGGGAGGGGAGCACCCAGATCAAGCCCCTCTCCTCTATCCTGGGGCTTTTCTAGATGCATCTGGTGTATCAAAGAATGTCTGCAAAGCCCCCAGATTCTGGTTGAACCTCATTTGCCTTGACATCTCTGTGTCCCACATCATTCCTTGGGATATGAATGGTAGAACGGGATGGTCTTTTGGGCTATTCCCTCTCCAAGTTTACACCAAAGTCTCTTGTTACCCATCCAGTGAAGTGGACATAATGGGACTGACTCACTGTTTCTATCCAGTGTCCTATAGCTATGTAACATGTCACCCCAGCCTTGGTGATAAGGAGCAATACCATGCAATAGCTCACAGAAGTCAAGAGAAGAGTGGTACAAAGAGAACCTTTGTCACTCGGGATTTTTCTTCTAT